ACCTTCTATTGCTGGGGCTCGGTACTCAAACTCAAGAGGAGAGCGCCTGTCAGAGAACCAGCCGCATTACTAGCTTTGCGTGCCCTAGGCTTCGATGATTACGTAGCCTACCACCACGAACACATGACGAAGACACCACATTTCGAACGACTGCCGCAGGCCAGATCAGGCAAGGACATATCTATGGAACCCTTTAGCTAGTATTATTTGGCTGGTATTATTTTTTCCCGAGTATAAATTTTAAAGTCTATTTATTTTAAACGTAATATATATTATTATACTTTCAAAACAATAACTAATAGAAACAAACAGACCAAAATATGACTTAGCTAACAAATTTCTTCGTCGTCTTGAAATCTGAAGCGAAAGCTTTGACTTGATATGGTCGTCCAATCACTGCTAAGAGAGCACATTTGTCAACGGCAAAATCTAAAACGTTTCGTTGCGAAACGTTTTCGTCAATGAAAAAAATAAAAATAGCAAATATATATATGCAGATCTGTGTTACGCACCAAAATATGACGTCTCCAGGTGGATCATGTGAGCGAGCTGGCCTTGGCTCGAGTACTCGTCTTAACAGAGTTAATAGTCCTTGTCTATTTATGAATTATCCGTAACGATCCACATTCGTACGGTTTCTAGTTGAAACGTTTGAATACCTTGTTCACCGTTCGGACAGCCACACAGTACGAGCCAAAGCCCTGAACGGTAGATCCGCAAGGGTAGCCGCTTGACCGCAATGCAAGAACAGACAAACGTACGCAATGATGGCTTCTGCCCCAAGTATCACCACGTCGCGTTTCGCACACCTGTGCTGGTATGAGGGTTTACAGATTGTCCGTCCATACACATTATACGAACGCTTCCGCGTAACTATTTCCAAGTAAGAGGTTCTTGAGCCCAGATATTGGGTATTATTCCTTTTGCACGACTAACCTAGTTAATAATGGGAATGGTAGACTAACTCGTTGAAGGGCATCGGCTGTCACCGATCATTCTGTCATAATAATTTGCAAAATTCACTCATCGAAACCCAGCCAACAAAGTATGAGTATCATCATAGAAACTCAGGAATAAGAGGCACAGCTTATCAAATTGACCAAAATTGACCACGAATCTCTTAGCCGTCTTAGTCCACATAAGGAACGCGATGCTGTTTGGCTTTTTTGCAAACATCTCATGAATGACAGTGTTGTAAAGCTCTAGTTATATTTACCGATAGAAGCATTTAATCTCATGGCTTGGTAAGTCACAATAGACAATAAACTTACACTAAGGATATAATGTTCAAAAAATTTTAATATATTTTTGTGTATATACGCATATATGACTACTGCTTTTTAAGAGAGGGTTGTTATTACGTTATGACAGTGTAGTGTATTACACAATGGATGCGTGCAAATAAACAATGAAGCACTAATAAGCTGTGTAAAAATTTCCTGTTAAGCTACGGCTCAAAGAGACGAACGTATGCGCTTAGAAATGTTTGTTTTACCGTGAGAGCTTGTACGTCCCTTAGCGTCCTATCCTTTACGTCACCCCCCGACGAAGTAGTGCCTCTGCCTCAGTCCGCTTTTTTTCTGTTTAGCCCTTTGCAACTGTGTTATCTTGTCGTTGACGTGCCGTGCGGCGTACATGAAACATTGTAACAAATGTTATTAAGAAAACTAAAATTCATGATGCATATGACAGTTCGGTCAATGTTTCTAGCCACATTATTTGCTGCCAGGGAAACTAATAAAATTAAAAGCAGTTATAAAAGCGGTCAATGTATAGTAAAAGAACATTGTGCTCTACATTAACCCTGCAGATCTCCTTTCAGAACCCAACGCACTCAAACCCCTGTGTCGAACGTCAGCCATCGCTTTTTCTTCTTCTATGTGGTTGTTGTCTTCGTTCATTTTAATACAAGCACCGATCCTAACCTACGCATAGGTTGACATACGGGACACATTTGCTGGCATCAAGCGACAAAACGCAACGCGAGCACTACCATCAACTACAGCAGTAGAGGGCGAAGTCGAAATGCAAGCTGCAGTAACAAAATGCTCGTCCTATTTTTTTCCTTTTTTCAATTTGGCTTCCTCCTGTCTTGGTCCTGTGTGAACCGTCCAATCATATAGGCGCTGCCTCAGCAACGTACACGGTCAGGTCATTTGTTCAGCTATTGAATTTGCTTCGGGGTGTGATCAAATTGTGGACGCTTTAGGTGCAGTCCGGTGCTCACACGACATATCAAAAAGCTTTAATATCAGCAGAATCAGAGTTTCGCATCGGGTACGTCTTAAAAAGACGTCATTTATTCAATCTTGTGTTCGAAAATCATCCAAAATATTGCGCTTAGTGATTTTTTTATCGTGCAGATCTTACATTACTATACTGTTGCCAGTAAATCGTCCTATTCGTGTTTAACGATTTGGACGAAGCAAACGTTATTCAAAAGTAATACATTATACATCCATTGTCATCACAGGATACATCGGTGGTCATGTTGAACTGTCGTAGGCTAACATAGAGCAATGGAGCAGTGGTATAATATATTGACCATTTACTGCAGGTGATTGCAAAGGGTTCAGCTATTCGTTTAAAGTTCGCAATCCTTCGTTGAGATTATGAGTTGTAAAAGTGTGTGTGTGTAAAAAACTAGAAAAAAAGTGTGTGTAGACTATACAATATTGAAAACCCTAACACAATTTCTACTGGAAATAAATATCGTTATATTAACTCAAACCTAGTAATTTTGATAGCAAACCAACCATCACTGTGCACGATAAAATCGCAAACAATAGCTGTGCATGTAGAATGTGCAGGTTGTTTCATGAATAAGGCATACCTGCATACTGGTATTGTGCACGAGGCAGCGCTTTTTTTCTTCTATACTGTAAAGCAGAGCGTCATTCAGTTTTATGTTATATATTTTCTATTTGTGCATGAGATTTACCGATATCTCTCAAGTTCACTGTTAATAAACACGGGTGCGACACTATATCTGTATTTTCGAAAACGTAGAAATTATTGAAGGTAAGGTAAGGTACAGTATACTGTAGTAACTTCATTCATTGACAGCTCTGTTAATGCAATATATTTGCAAAAAGGTAATAAAAAATAAACCCAAAAATTTTGTCAGGGGGCGGTGTATCTAAACACTTCAACAAAAGTTAAGACGGTCGACCACGTTCTGAGGTATTCACTTTGGCAATGTTGTTATCGCGATGGATTTGCTAAATATCAGTCAGACGGATGTAAGTGTTTGTGACTGTTTTAGCTGTGGAGGTTGTTCCTCCATAGAAAACCATCACGAATGATCGACCTAGAACCGCTGAAAAAGTATTTGCCTCAGAAAAGTTGTTCTCACAAAATGCATTAAGTCGATCAGCTGATGACTTTCATATTATATGAATTGCCCGCCGTTGGGACATCCATACACCCACACTTATACCCTATTAGAGATCGTCAAGATCAGTAGGTCTAAATTTACTAAAATTTCGGTTTATCTAAACTGATTTCGGCTTGGAAAAAAATAATGCGTTTAAAAAAAACAAAGGTTAAAAATTCAAAATTCGTGAAAGATAGATTTTGTTTGCTTGCGACTTCTATTAAAATGCCGCCGGATGCAAATTTTGTTTGCACGATGCGTTGATGTTGGCCTTCTATAATATGAGTAGCCATTGCCTGTCGAAGATGATTGAAATCTTTTGCGTCAGAGCTTTTGTGGAGCAGTGCGAAACTTTCGGAGATATTTCCTTCAGGGATTGATAGTCGGGTTTTTTGTGTTGTTACTCGTTTACACTAGCCGATTTATCATTATGTTTATTTGTAGCTTTTCTACCTTTTTTTTTTATATCAAGCCTCATCGATGAAATCCAGCGCTTCAAAAAACCTTGTTACGCTAGACGATTGTCTTCGCCACATAAAATCATTTATCTACTGACACACCGCCGTACTAACATCAGCCAACTGGTCATGCTATACGTAGATGTTTACCCACATCTCGAAGTCTTACTTTCAACTCTAGGGAGATTTCGTAAAGGTGTTCCCCCCAGAGACTCTATCTACACTACCTCAGCCAATATCAGATCTGCTTAGTTTGCCTGTTCCATACGGCGAACTCAGTATGCTCATATGGTATTATCTCGTTGTCGCCATATATAAAAATTTGATGAAATCATCTTTCCAGGGAACCATTTGTCAGACAAAACACGTCCATACGCCTTGCTACCGATCAGTATATTTTCGATAAAGTCAATAAGCGATTTTGCGAACAGACGTTTAATCCAAAAATGCATTAGGTCTATGCGTGTGACACGGCTCTTGAAATTTCGATTTTGTCCTTTTAATCAATACATCCCAAAAATTTCGGCTACACATTAAGAGTTGTTTATTTAATTCTAAAAACTGTTAGTGAAATGCTTTTTAAAAACATAATACACAAAAAAAACACAACATTTAAACTCATTAATTAAACCATTTTTGAAATGATTTCGATGCCTTTCCAAGCTGCAGTCTTAATTTTTCGAATATATGTCTTAATCTAGAACGTTTTCTTCGGTGGGAAAACGTTTTAGTATTGGAAGCAATTCTACAAAGTTATATGTTAACATTCATGTGTTCCTTTCAGATGCTGCTTAGGCATATAATAACAATACAAACTAGATGGAAGTTGTCAGGGATATCGTACTATCTATACAGCATTTTCTAAGCTGCTGCTAACTAGCTTGCTATTATCCAACCGGAAATAGCTCATACTCATAATAACATACTTGTCTGTTCTGCTATGAATCCTCGTCTGACGCGATAGGATATCGGAGGTACCATCTTACCCAGCTACAGCCTCTTTACAGTTGGAGGGAAACGCCAAGGAAAATTCCAAGCCTGTCCCCAATGCCCCTCCCTTTCCGAATGTTTGAAGACAAGCTTGCTTCAATTCTCTCTTTATTTTCTCCCCTTTTCGTTCGTTTCTCTTTTCTTAACAAAGGGGGAATTTTTATTATATTTTTCAGGTTCAACAAACATTCTGTTTAGTCAAGCTAGGCCGGACAGGGCGCGCGTGGAAGAGGCACCTCGGGAGTGAAGCTTAGAACGAGCGGAAATGAGGTTAGGCACCCTGAGGCGATACGACCGGAGGCCCCCATGGGGTTCGCGGCCGCTACCGTAGTCGTCCTTCTTCGAAGTTAGCTGCTCTATCCGTAGCCGTCGAAAGTATAGAGGCGAAGGTGAGCATTAGTATAGCATCACAACGCGGCACTGGCAGAAAGGAAAGCGAACAAGTCCGAAGGGACTTGTGTAGCCTGATGGCAGCGGCAGCCTTGCCTATCCCAACGTCAGTACCGCTCACCACAGCTGTCACCTTAGTACTACGAACAGTTGCGTTTTCTGCTGTTTAGTGGGATCGTAGTGAGTTTGTTTATTTTGTGCCTTTATTACTATTATTATTATAAGGGATCGGAAATTTGAACCTAAGTTACAGTGGGGCGATGCGTGGCTAAGAGGAGGAAAGCTATAGGCTGAAATCTAAGCTCTCATGAATTTCCTGCGCTGGCCTTTCGGATAGAAAATAATCGTTATTGACGATTTTACTTTCAAAGTCCCTAACGTCTAGGTAAAGTGCTGAAACACATGATCACGCTTCTAAATGATTCGATTCTTTTGTACATATACAATACTCAATCCTAAACAACAAAGCCGTACATAACATTGCATCTCTTTCCATTCATAAGGAGGCGGCCATCAGGTGTTAAATTCGTTCTTTTTGTGACGTGTGTCCATTTTCAGTCATTGGATTTCCTGGACTTTATCTCACATTTTCTTTTATAATCATACTGAAAGCAGTAGAAAGTCAGTCCAATCAGTGGGAAAAATTTTTTAGACATCTTGCTAATCATAGATAGATATCGATTTCTTCGGATATATTAATTATAAAATATTACAACTGTAATATATGGACGTTTTTAATATAATCGATATTGCGAAACCCCTTCGTACGTCACAAGATCTGCTCCATTTTAAATAGTCACCATTTCCCATACCGGTAGGCGATATGCATCCATTGACAGCCGTTGCAGTATGAGGTCCGCCCCAACAATATACTTTAGCTCTTCCAAAGTTTTTGCAATGGTTTGTAGATGATATTTTTTCCCAAGTTACGAATGCCAAAAATGGTCGCCGCGTTAAAATGATCAGATACTACAACGCCGCGGAGATCGTACAAGATGAAAGGCGTTTCACTTAATGCTTTTCATCTATAGTGAAGGACGAAGTAACGGTCTCTTGATCCGCATCCATCATTTTTATTTAGACAGCATGACCCTTTTACGCAGAGACTCTAAGCCAATCTAAAAATTCGGCCAAAAATATCGTTAATTCGGGAACATCTAGTACCTCTTAGTATTCTTGACGTAGGACAGCTCGTGCCGGCTTCACAAGTCGACGTGCTCACCGTATTTATATGTGTGACAAATTACCATGCGTGTATCCAACACAGACGCGTCCTAGCGTTGTTGTCTAGAAATGTCCCAATGGAAGAAAAGACGACCAAGCCTTTGCTTTAGAGTTACCAGTGTCTCTAGTTGCCACGAGCAGTCTGTAGCGTTATTTGCAATGTTACGTACTTGCATTGTACTTTGCGAAGAGATTCAGTCCACGTTTTTTGAGGACATTCCTTCTCCTCGACTAGGTTGTCCTTCCAGTGTCTGGATGTGTCCACAGCACGCCCCTGAGTTAGCAGAAAGCGTTATCAAATCTAGTCCAATAGCCGTAAATTCAACAGGATAAAACTGCTCTGAACCATCAAAAGTGACTGACGATAACCCTAACTAGGTGCGGTTTTAGACAAGGCCATCTTAGAGAAGTTCGTTAGGGCTTTCCAGCTTAGGTCGATGCAGAATTGTAAAACGTTTTCAGGCGTAGATTGTACCGCATCCTCTTTTAAAGCAAGCCGGATTTTTTTCTTACAATGCAGTTAAAGAAAAATAAGCGTGTCAATCCTTTGTCTTCTCCCGAGTGCTGACTGAAGATTGTGCTGTATCAGGGCCATCCCAAATAAGGTTGACATTTTGGACGCGACGATCTGAAAATGATAGATGACGATAAAAGTGATCTAAAGACGGGAAAGGGGCCCGTATGTAAACACTTCATATTTCATGGTATTGAGTTCGAGCACTATCTCGCCTACTACGGTTAGAAGTGTAAAGATGTTTCATAGCACTACGTCTAGTTCTACCGAAAACGCCACCGGCCATTTATCGCAGGAAGTCATCTCGTGTTAAATACGTTTTTGAGGTACAGTTATACGAGCAGGGCGGGTTTGAATCTGCTGCATAAAAAAGGTTCAAAGCCATCCGGTGCAACGAGACCACGTTGTCGTCGGGACCGGTGACAAAAAATGATATAACTCGATATTATTTCCCAGTTAGCATCGGTAAGGCAATAGGGGCGAATATAATGGAGGCCACCTATGCCTTATACCATCCAGGCATGTTATGTATTATAGCGTTGTCGTAAAAGCAATCAAGATTTGGCTTGCTTGTTGGACTACGTTAAAGAATTATTAGTATCCAGATTAGAATGTAGCAACCATGATTCACTGTTAAGGGCATGCGGGCATTAAGGAAATGGCATCTCATATTCACCACCCGTACTCTAAGGACTCGTTAGACGTTGAAAGCTTCGGAGGAACAACCAGTTAGCCCGCGACCCGGGTCCTAATCTGCCACAACGGCCTCTACGATGACAAGTAGCTTATATAAGCTACTTGTCATCGTCAGGTGATAACAACAAAGAAAAAGGACAAAACTATATCAAATAAGGCACCATATAGTCGCTAAACTAAATAGCAGGCCATTAGATATAGCAAAGAAAGAAAGAAACTACTGTACAAAGTCCTGAATTAGGGAATTTCGCCGGAGCGTAAACATTATTGACTAAGCACATTCTTAAGCAAGCCTGCGATATGGGACAGGCACTGCACAATCATTGGAGTACCCACGAAAAAACGAAAATGTTTATAAAGCCCTGTAACTCTGCGAGTGCTCATATTATAACTCGTATGTTTCATGCGGTCGTTGAAAACGTCATACTCTAAAAATATAAAAATGAAATTGTAATCATTGCTTTTAACTTAGTGTCCAACCATGATGTGCCTCACATGCTGCCATTAGAACTACAGAACTCATTTGACATATTACTTACAAGGCATACAAAAGGGCTTCCCATACACCCTGATATTACTCCCGCAAGAATAACATTTTGAGACATACATGCGTCATATTCGGTGTAATGAGGCCCCTTGAGGATCAGCTCTGCCGTGATCAATACGTATTAATAATGTTATATACTCTTGGTAGCTACTTATTTACAATATGCTATTCTAATCTGCTTAAATCAATAATCATGTGCTTCGCTTCTCAGACTGGCTTTCATGCAGTCAGATAGCTCGGTGCCTCTGTGGTGGGACACACTTAAGCCCTCTGAACTGGCTTGATCGTAACTTATGACGATGAGGAGACTATACCCATTTTTCTAAAATGCCTTTGGTGATGAATACCTTATCAAGTTTGTAAAGATCAGACTATCAAAGACTTTACTACCGGTCGTATATGAACAACTGACCTTAGATGATTGTCTTTTATAGGTAATCGATATTAGATCTAATTGCACGAAATCGAGCAATTTTTAAATCCATTCACACAGACGCTCAATACAAAAGAGCTGTCTTTCTAGATTAAACCTAGGAAGTGCGTGCGGATTTACAAAATACGGAATTTAGCAATGATTAAAGTTACGTAACCAGAGAACAATAGGCTGCCCGTTACTCAAGTATTACCCTTACCAACCCCAACGGTTCAGCCATATCATACCGTTTCCTTCGCCACTATTATTATTATTGGAAGGGGGAATATGCGACAGTACATTATCAGGCTCAGTCGATGTCATGGCCTTAGGCCTTCGGCGCAAGAAAAGTATAAAGACGTGTCCGCTGTTAAGAAAAGAAAGAGCAAACTCACTTCTTGTGCCTTGTTCCTATTTCAGAAATGCCTCAGGCTATAGTTTTACTTTATAACTCCTTAGAAATGGTTCACTATCACAGCATAAATCAAAATACATAGTCTTTGTTTCAACCTGTGACCAACCTGAACGTGGAGCTTTAGGTCTATTTCTGCAATCGGCTTGCAGACCACTGCAGACGCACAACAGCAAAAGAGATATCTAATAAATCCCCGATATGGTCTGATATCTAATTTTAAACAAAGCTTAAATTCCGATAAAGCTCGAATTTGAAGCATAGTTGCTTCCTGAGCTGTGCCTATACAGGTTTTCTACGATTTGATAACCGCAGCGCTCGTATTCGTCTGCTACATTGACTTTGAAATAAGTCGATCGCTTCAATTGGAAATATTTGTTTCATATGACTGGATGAGCCTAGGTGACTCTAAGACACGTATTAGACTTTAATAATTATCTTTTTCCTAGTAAAAAGCAATTTTACTAGAGCAGCTATTGTAAATATGGATAATGGAAGTACGCGTGAAGATCAAACCATTGGACTCAGTGAACACATGACACAGTCACGCTCTCCAGCACAAATCACCATAGACGTAATGTCGTTATATATCGACAATATAGAGAAGAGGATTTCTTCTTTTTATGTACTACGATAATCAGCCAGGCTAGTTCTCAAATAATCAAATCTCTAACACTCTATATACTATAGCAACGATAGAATTGCACGAGGGCTTCACAAGCCAATGGGATATCTTATGCGAAAAGGGAGGTTTGCCTAATTTCCGCTAATGTAGGTTGATGCTGGGGCGGCCGAACAGGGAGCCTACAGAGTTGCTACTGTAAATAGCAATAGCTCCGGTGGCATTATTGTGCGTGCTTGTATAAGGGCAATCATTCTCACTTATATCGATTCCTGCCACGGCCAATGGAAGCAGCGGGACGGTGCGGCACCAGAGTTGTGAAGTAGCCGACGTCAGCGATATGGGCGAATGAACCTACATTAAGACTAAGCTAATATGTTTGCATGGAGAATATAATGTGTGGCCACTGCATCGTCTGCTCTGAGATGTCTACTGACACTATTGAAAACACCCATGCACGACATCGTACTCGGAGCGTCACGTAACTTTAAGTTGATAACAGAATATAGTCTTTATAATATGAGATGACTATGAGTGGCTTGCCAAAGGGTGTGGCGTGAGCAATGGATATGGGTAGTCACCGGACGAACTTAGCCGATACTGCAATTTATTGTACGATCAAATGGTCAATGATCAACTAACGAGTATAATTTGTTTTAGTAATTTCTAATAAATGTGAGTAATTATGCAAAAAAGATTCGAACTAAATACCGCGACTGTTAAATATCTCCTAATATCCTTATTTAATCATTTACTGATATAAGCCGTGTGTACAAGTATACTTATGTAATAATAGGTGTACGATGTATTGATAATATATTATTCTATCATGAAACTCTCATAGCCAATACGTCCAGTGTGTTAGTTATTAAATTAGCCACTGGTCTTATCGAAGAAATTTACAGAAGACGATAATAACGGGATTCGGGCCGCTATACAACAAGCGTTACAGCGTACTATGCTCCAGATTCCCCTCAGAGAACAAAGGCAGGAACAACCATAAAAGAAATGTTTTGAATTTTAGGAAGTCATCCATTTTGTTTCGGACCTTTAGGTTCTTGTCGGCTTCTATTTGTAACACGATTTTTTTAAACGACTGCTATTGGCTCGCCTTTTGCAGTAGTACTTTACGCATAAAAAGCATGGAGCAGCTAAACAATTCGTCAAGTCTTCTGCCAAATTTTATAACTTGCGCTAATGTCGCTCGGAAGGATGAGAAAAATACTTTTCTTTTCTGCATGGCTTCAGTCTCTCGATAGTACGCGAACTGTCTTCTTAGAATTTCAACTTTTCGGTCTAGCCAAAGCATAACACACACGAAATAACGAGATATACTTATGCAGCCTTACAATTAGTTAGAAACGAACGATTTCTAAAACTAAATTCATTTGACCAGAATCAACATGTTTTTAGAAAACATCTTGATTGTTAAGAAATATCTTTACGCTATAAAAATTGTCAAGACACGTTTATACTGACCTTCGCCTATCCTAAACCATGGGCTTGTTGCGCTCCATTTTAGACAACATTTATCTTCGAAATTCTCTAATTTGTTTCACATGTTGTTTACAAATTAATGTCAAAGTTATATTCTATGATTCTGCTTGCAATCTAAATACGGTATAGGCCGTTGAGATGCACACAATGGAATTGGGTCGGGTGTCAATTGACTTGAACATCTTTTGGTTTCATATTAGGCTTATCGCTGCTCGTTAAATAGACTCGAAGAGTCCTATTATCACGGGGCGAGGGGAACAGATGCCCAAGAAACCTGTGTACGCCGAGAAGATGCTAATTTAGATAGTCTAAATACGTGCCTGGACTTGAAGCTATTGTTGGATGTAGCCAATTTTTTGTAAATCACGTCAATAGCAAGTTCTGTTTTACCGGTAGTTAAAAACTTCATATTGCATCTCCGTGTGGGGCAACTGCAGGACAATGTAACTGTCGAACATTGTCAGGTGCCGCCCGCATAACGTCAACATGTCAGAGAAACACATTAACTATTTACTGGTATTTTTAGAGGGAGATATGCTTTTCTACTAGACAGAAAGAACATTTAGGCGACATACAGATATGTTCATGTCAGAGTTTAGGTAAATCAATCTTCCGCTTTCCGTCAAGTGAGAACCAACTATCTTCAAGGCGTTTTTAAAAAATGACGGTCTGTAACGGTAAAAAAGCCTGCGTAAGTCGCCAGCTAACGAAAGTATCGAAGTTATCTACTACAAATAGACAAGCAGAATGAATATTTTAACGGGTTCCGTGAAAGCCTTGCGATAAAGGAGAGACACAAAACTGCTATCGACGGCGACACGTGCCGATAGCCAGAGAGCTAGGAATCAAGCATACATGAACTACAGAAAACCTAGTTTTGTCACAACAAAGAAAAGCATCAAATGCGTTGAAAACTGAATTCAGCAAAAAAAGAAACGCATACCTATCACACGCGATCGCTTTAAATCTTAATATAGTTTACCGTACTGACAAAAGTGCAAAGGCGTTGCTGGGGGACCAGATCAATGTGCCCCTCGTAATCGTCAAGTAAATAAAAGTCCGCAGCAGCGATAGCAGATTCCATTTCGCGATGCTGGCGATGCTCTGTGGGAGAACGATAGTGAAATTTTGCACTATGGTAGAATTCTTTGTGAAAATTCGCTATTGATATACACGGCTCGTAGCTGACCACAGATATGAGCTAGTCACGAATTAAACATTCCGTAAATTGCAGTTGTTTAAATACGTATAGACTTCGTAGCAGTGCGGCTATAGACCGCCCTTCGCCACCATTTCGAGTCAAGAAAGTGTTTCTCGCTCTAACAACAGATAATAATGGCTTTCTGGAGAATAGACCATCTGAGTTGAGGTGGGCTGAAGGAACCTCTTCGAAATGTTCCGAGAAGACAGAACATGGCATCGGGAAAGAGCGTTTATCTTGTACGAAATGCAATGTGGTGTTCCAAAATGAATATAAGATTCTTTTCGTTTAAAGTTGTTGCTCGTAGCATCTCGTTCCCCCGTAGAGTGATACAGCTCGTGTCAATCTAGCAATTTGCATATAAGCACAACTACTGACCTCGTGGACTGGGATCAATCGTAAGACGTGATAATGCCATAACTATTTCGCATGATTTAAATTTGCCGCGTATCGACCAAACATTACTAGGTAAACATACTAGGATAACTGCGCAGAAATACAGGGAAATGACGTTCCTCAATTCTGTGCAGTTGATGAGTTCATAGAGTTTGTTACCGACGCCACACATCTTTTTCCGCCATTTTATTTTACGCAACGACAACTCAGTCGACAATTTCGAGGACACATATCAGACTAAATCGTATGAATCTAGAAACTAAATCTGTGTTAGGTCTTCGTTTTTCTGTAGTACGTACGTGTTTGATGCGCCTGCAGATAGCGACAAACACATCTGATTTTCAAATAACGAACTGTTGTATGTCTACTATTGACTCAAACAATGCGTAGCAATTGGACCCCAGCAGGCTTATGTTGATCTTGAAATTTAGCAGACTTATTTAGGATATAGGCAATGAATAACAATATATTTCTCTAAATGCAACCCAGTCTAACTATACATCGACGTCTTTGAGGTGAACATCGTTAGGACGCGTTGTTGTAAACGCTTTTAAATATAGAATCGACTGTACTGAAGACTGATTTCATTAGACGTAAGCATTAACATGCTTACGAGTTTGCGGCTGTCTCCTTGGAACAGAGTGTTAAATATTTAGAAACGGCTCATCTGTTACGGCATTCTAGAGTCTTAACGCGCGACTCGATTTAGGAGATATGCCTATAACATCAGAGTTGGGCAAGCAGACCAGCTCCCTATATTCCAATACAAAATATGTAACCCTGATAAGATGAATACAAAATTTTTGCAATGAAATTTCAGGCATACATACGTTTCAACGGTGGAGAACAGAGACTGGAAGCTGACGTTTTCCTATTACCAGTCATTCCTATGGTACGTACTGGAATAGAAGGGGAGCTATTACAATTGCTCCAGCCGGACAAGATCCCCTGCTCATAGCCAAGAGTTCCCGAACGCGACGTAATATAGGATTAGTCTAATGCCTGACCATGCTTGGTTTGCCATTTATGACTTTCTGCAGTCCTAACCCATGTTCGTTAGTTCCTCATAGCAATGATCCCTTGACTTGCTCTGTGACGAATCCCTTTGTCCATTGTAAGCAACGATAACTGCATGTGAATTGGGCACATACGATCTGCCATTACATTTTTTACAGTATAATAAAGCTTCGTGGTGTTTTTCACCCTCGCGTGTATACACACTACAGTCGCACGGCAAAAAACTAACACAACACAATCGCTCGAAAAAAGCGTCCGTCGAAGATTAGCAATAAAAATTTGAATATTAGACGGAGTCTCTTAGCTATATTGGAGTTAACTTTCTTCTTTTCTACATGTGTATGAATGAATTTGTATGTAGACAAGCTTCGTACTACCGTTGTTAACTTTAGGTGCCAAACAAATTGTTTTAACAAAAGTTATTACGATCCAGTAATATATATGTATATATTGCGTTTAAGTAAATATTGCAGATAAATAAGCAGATTGTTCTACTATTTCCACAAATATAAAACACAGAAAAGTGACTTGATATTTTCAGCCAGCTTTGCTTACATATTTATGTCATTTTTATTACTTATTTCGTTTTTTTCTAAATATATTCAAGCTAAATATTAAAGACTGAGTTAAGAGTCCACCGCTGTCTCGTGGAGCGAAACCCGAAGGCTGCTGCAGACTGGGTGGGCACTGATCTCTGTGGCCACCTAATAGGGTTAATAAACAGTTTTGGATCATTTCGTCCGTTCGGACCAGCTCCTTTGGCCGCAGTGTCAAAGAACATTGTATCCATTGCCGTAGGGTACTATCAGCGGACAACATTCTACAAGTCCGGTTATTCCTATGGGTGATAGGTACACTAAATCAATATAAGGACATGATACATGTTGTATGTGTGTAAGAGCAAAAAGCGAAAAATGGTAAATCACACGAGTAACCTGTTCTCTATTGGAGATTAACACCGTTTGTTTACTCAGGGTCAATTACAAACGCGATTTTTCTGCCAAGACATTTACGTAAACTAAGAATGGAAATTACCAAGGACTCAAACTACACTAGGTATTATAGTTTCTTTCGTACTTAGTTACCGCCAAGTCCACAGGTGACAAGCAATTTACTGCTTATAACTGTTTACTCAAAAAGTTTAGTATATAAACTAACAAAACGCAATAAAGTTGATTGGCGCTAACAGCATTTACAGGAAAAGTAGACGTGTTCATTTGGCTCAACCGACCATTGTTCCGGTCTTCGCGTAATCAACGTTACAAGTGCGTCGTCTCCGATCGTCTATTTTCGACAAGGAAGCGGGGCGACTTAGCAGAAAAAGAAGTCTTTTGGGGGGACGCGCTGGTGGCAACGGCTAAGAAAAAGCCAACAAACGCAGTCTTCTCCTTTCTTTAAATCATTCACTATAGTGATATGTTACTCGTCTGTCATCGGGTACAACATAGCGCCATAACAGATGACTGTACGGTACGGCACTAACGACAAAAGACATCCATATCTCACCGAGTGTTTTTGAAAATCAACAGCCACATATTTGCCTGATCGTACACCCTCCCGTCCAGTGCAGGTCTGTCTTTTCTTCAATCATTTTCGTTCGTAGAACGCTTTATACAAATAACAGGACTCTGCTGAGTCATATGCATGCGTTTCTTCTCTGACTAATATGAACGGCCAGCCAGTCGGCCTGCCTTTACATTCTAGCAGTCCTTTGCTCGCCAGCTTCTTAGCTCGTTAACCACCACCCGCAATGCGTTTACCCCATTATACAGCGCTTTTCGCGTCTCGATCTCATTCAGCCTCGTCGTGTGCTTGTACGTACGTAGTATTCACCTATGACAACGTAGGATTGTTTTTTCACAGCAGGCAATGTCTGCCCTGTTAGCGGGAAGTTATACTGCTGTGCCAGCAGCGCTGCTAGATACTGTGTGCTCCATAGTAAGGGCTTGCTTTCCAGTCCCTGACCCATATGCATTCGCGATTCCAGCTGGTCTTTCTTTCCACCCTCTGCTTTCTACCTCCCAACGTCCTCCCCACTTACATACGCTTAAGCAGGCGAGTTCTTATGCGCAGGAAGCAGAATGACCATAATAACGGCTGGCACACACGGCAGTGTCTGGCAGCGGGACGGCGAGGCAACAACAGTGGCAGCAGACGAGGACAAGCGCACTGCAAGAAAATAAAGCGGAGACAGAAAGAAAATAGAGAGAGAAGGGGAAGGTGGGAAACTGGATCGGTTGAAGCGCGTACGTCACGAGCGCATCTCTGACATTATTACTGGAACAGCAGCAGCAAACGGCGTGGAGCAGCCGTCTGTGATACTGTTATTGAAAGATTCGACACTTGCAATCGGTATTCCGTAGAACGTCGGCGGAAAGGGTAGCTAGTTCTGATCTCTTTGCTGTTGTAAGCAAAGTCAGCAAAAAGACTGAGTGGCGGACGCGCGTCCGCTTGTCAGGAGCTGCAAGGTGGGTGCTTCATGAGTGCGACTAATGTTTGTTCCATCAACGGCGGCCGCGGCGGCAATGGTGGCTCAGCGAGAGGCAAAGGCTCTTCTCAATCTCCCTCCGACCTTCCTGACTGAGCACTGGCCACGCCTCGTGCTCTTACTCTGAAAAGTCTTTTGCCAATGTCCGATAAACGCAATGGAAAGAACGAACAGGGTTCTACTTCTTTCTTACATCCAAAGAGCCATCGACGGGTCTTCCGTTGGACTGAAGAAAGAACAGGCCGAGCAGAGTTCCGTTCCTACGACAGCGATTCATTATGCCGTTTCGAAGCGTGTGGCAGACGAGAGCACCATCGACGCCATCGCCACGTATATGTGTGTGCGCCCCTGATATGCCTGCTTCTAACACTCAGCGTACCACTGCCGCTAATGTTAGAAGCGTTTCGAATGCTTTCCGCTTCATTTGGGTGTCTTTTCTTATTATACCATATATAATGGTACGTAGTGCTGGCGGAAAAGCAGCTGGCAGACCGTTACAGGATTTCTGCATTGAAACAATTAGCACCGTTGAAAATGCCAACGCTCGCTAAGATATCCGGAATATGTAGCCAGTGAACTTCCATATGACTGAAAAGCTATAGCTGGGCCAGAGCGTATGATCAAGCGGATATTACTGATTGTTAGCGAATCGGACTTTAGCCGGAAGTACGCTCTGAATGCAATCCACAAAACACCGAGAATTATTTAGACCTTCGCCATCTAATACTTATGCTTAGGTGTTCAAAATGCACAATAAAACGGTAGGCTTTCCAAATTGTGACTGTAATAAGGTTACATTAGTGAAAAGCCTTTTAGTCGAAAAATAGTACATAATATATTTAATATACGTTTACAAAAATTTCTGTAGACTTTATTGGTAATCGGAATCAATCTCCGTTATAAAAAATAGTATACTATCCCTAAGAAACAGCAATATTGGGTTTTAAGAGGTTGAACGTTATTTGATTGAGTAGTATCTGATTAGTGGCGCGGAAATCGCAATTTGACAGTGGCAAACTCATAAAAAAATGTAGGTAACACTTTAATTAGAAAACTGAAACAAAAAAAATATATATATATACATACATATACTCGACGATGAAAACGTCGAGTCACCGAATATTTTCTAAATAAATTGCTAGTTATTTAGCCACTTTACTGAGTTTGCTTACAAGGATTTCAAACCGTATCATGACAATGAACAGACAACCTACTTGTCCTGTTTCCTCTCACGAACAAGTGGGCCTTGGTGACAAGGCCGTTATAATAGTTCATAGACGCCCGTGTACACAGCAACCGCTCTTGGACCCAAATAATCACAACCCTCATTTTCTAAGATGTATTATTTGCGGCAACTCAGTAGCTATAGAAGTCTAATCCTAATGGCTCGCTTTCTCTGGGAACTTGAAATACTTGTTTAACGTGTAGTTTAAGCCTATAGGACCGTGCAAAACCAACCTTAGGGACACTCGAATGGACCCTAATCAGTACCAGAAGGGTGTGTACTTGTACGACTTTTATGACCTTATAGCCGTGTATTTTCTGTATAATTAAACTGGATTTCGTTGAAGAAAACCGTTATTTAATTATTCAAAGAAACGCTTATCAAAGAGCGTTTCCGCCTGCAAGAGATATTCTCGGAATGTCGTGATCCTCGTAACGAGTAAAGAACTAATGAATTTTTAAGCGTACTGGCCCTTCCCGAGCAATAAACATTTTCACGACTATACACTATTTTTTTTAAAATACTAGGTGGCTGAATTATTTACTTATAATAGAACTTAGAAATCATTATTTTATGTTGAATTTATCACACACCATATCATTTATATACATAGATAGCTCGCTGTTTTATATAATGAAAGAAGCATTATTTGTCTTCTTTCTATTTTATATATAGAAAGTACGTAGCTATGTTGTGTTATTGTGGATCAATGGTAATATTGAAGATATGCGTTCTACAATGAACTATATGCCAACCAATCACAAAAAAATAATGATTGGCGCGTCTGATGATGCGCTCACACATGACGGGACCAAGTAGGTACTGTTTCTAATTTTTTATACTCGCATTTAAAATAATAATGCCTGAAATTGAATTTTTCGTGAGTTTCCGCTGCTCATTCGCTCGTCTGCCATGGACGTATTTACTAAATTTCAAATAGGCCCTCTCTACGCTATGCAGGAAACTCTCGGGAGAGCACTGCTCTTTTTGACTGTGTATGTGATGACATTCACAGCCATGAAAAACATGACATAATGACATGTAACATGTAATTAAGTTCCATTACAGACCAAGTGGTCTAAGAAGTACATTTGCCAACTTGAGGAAAAGTGATGTCGGGGTTTATTATTATTATTATTTTATATTTATTTTAGGGTTACGATATACGGAAGTGAATTTAGGAGCACAAACAAAACGCAACACGAACCCAATAGGGTAGACACTGGCTAGAGAGTTTTTTTTATTTAGGCCTAGATACCAATCGTATTCTATATGGGTCGCCTGCCCCAGCTGCCAGGTGCTCCTGCTGACAAATGGACCCATGAGAAAAAAGTGCTATTTGTAGTTGTTCTGAGTGTTCGAATAGATTGTCTCGTTACACTGCTAACAAATGTTAAGGCAATGTAGAGCGGAAGGAAATTTACACGTGCTTTAACATAGAGGTGGAATAATGTACCGGAACCAAAACGCCAACAGCTGGATACGTTTCTTTAATCTGATCATTTTTGGGATTTGATTAATGCTAATGCCTTAGCTATTTTATTGCACGATCACAAAAGTTGCAATAGCAGAAAAGTACGGTAGGCTATAAATCACGCTCCGCTTAATGAGATTATAAAACTCTTTTTTATATACATATATATATATATATAGTATATGTATGGAATTCACAGCAAACCTCTTTGTTCGTAACCATCGCACACTTTTTTAACTTAGTTGGCATAACTTATCGAAGACAAACGCAATTACATC